TACTGTAAAAGTTCAATTTAGGTATTATTTGCTTGCCACTGACGTTTACAAATTTTCGGCCTCAAAAGCTAAGGTCTACCACAAAGATTGCATATTTTCGTCAAAATGTGTAGAGTATGATAAAATTCCGAGGCATTTGTTTTGAACGAAACGGAGCCTAGTAATAGAACAACAGTTAATGTACACTATTTAGTGTACCTCTGTGTGTTTCACTGAGGAATAAAATTTCTAAGAGTTACAGATTAAATATCAAACTGATTGTTAATGTGGAAAGAAAAAAGGAACTGACCAAATGGAAAAACTGCGTTTAACATAAATATATTTACATTTTGTGTTGTAGGTTACAGATGACCTCATACATGTACTTGTATATCTGACACTAAGGAAAATGCATTGGAAATAGAAAGCATAGATTGATTAGTTTGACTTCACTTTTTGATCATTGACCTATTTCATTTTAAATTAATTTTTGATTTTAATTGATTGGTAAATGTTTGATAATCTGTTATATTAAGTCAATAATGACAACGTTCGATACCAAATACAAACATTTTACAATTATACTGAGGCTACTGCATACACACTTCGGTAGATCATACACTGCTGTAGTATATAATAATGACTTAAATGTATCATTCGTCAATGCTAACAGCAAAACGCCACAAGACTATTTGATTTGTCTCCCTTTTTGCAGTGCTTTAAACATGTCCACAAAGTTTATGACATAGCCTTGCTAATAACCTAGCTGTTGAATTCGAAAATGTATTTAATCTTGGACGGACGGACGGACGGATGGATGGATGGATGGATGGATGGATGACACACCAATAATCTTCAATATAGCGTTAAATGAATTGAATGAATGAATGACACAGACACCAACTATCTTCAATGTAGCGCTGAATGCACGGATAATTTATTTTATTATTAATTGTATAATGACAAAGATACCAATAATCGTCCATGCAACATTGAATGATTGTATTGACAATTTTATAATAATACTAAACCTCGGGCTCCAACCTTGGTACTATTCAAAATACGATGTGGACAATAAATTTCCTATCCATACAAGGGTAGATGTAAAATTTCCTATCCATACAAGGGTAGATGTAAAGTTTCCTATCCATACAAGCACAGATGTTAAATGTCCTATCCATTCAAGGGTAGATGTAAAGTTTCCTATCCATACAAGCACAGATGTTAAATGTCCTATCCATTCAAGGGTAGATGTAAAGTTTCCTATCTATACAAGGATAGATGTAAAATTTCATATCCATACAAGGGAAGATGTAAAATTTCCTATCCATACAAGGGTAGATGTAAAGTTTCCTATCCATACAAGGATAGATGTACTATTTCCTATTCGTACAAGAACAGATGTAAAATGTCCTATCGATACAAGAACAGATGTTAAATGTCCTATCCATACAAGGGTAGATGTAAAATTTCCTATCCATACAAGGATAGATGTAAAATGTCCTATCGATACAAGAACAGATGTTAAAATGTCCTATCGATACAAGAGCATATGTAAAATTTCCTATCCATACAAGGGTAGATGTAAAATTTCCTATCCATACAAGGATAGATGTAAAATGTCCTATCGATACAAGAACAGATGTAAAATGTCCTATCGATACAAGAACAGATGTTAAATGTCCTATCCATACAAGGGTAGATGTAAAATTTCCTATCCCAACAAGGGTAGAAGTAAAATTTCCTATCCATACAAGGGTAGATGTTAAATTTCCTATCCATACAAGAACACATGTTAAATGTCCTATCCATACAAGGGTAGATGTAAAATTTCCTATCCATGCAAGGGTAGATGTAAAATTTCCTATCCCAACAAGGGTAGAAGTAAAATTTCCTATCCATACAAGGGTAGATGTTAAATTTCCTATCCATACAAGAACAGATGTTAAAATGTCCTGTCGATACAAGAGCATATGTAAAATTTCCTATCCATACAAGGGCAGATGTAAAATTTCCTATCCATACAAGGGCAGATGTAAAATTTCCTATCCATACAAGGATAGATGTAAAATTTCCTATCCATACAAGGATAGATGTAAAATTTCCTATCCATACAAGGATAGATGTAATATTTCCTATCGATACAAGAACAGATGTTAAAATGTCCTATCGATACAAGAGAAGATGAAACAAATGTCCTCTTTACACATGTATATGTACAAATCCTTTATTACAAATACAGGAGCAGACTTACGACTTCATCAGCATACAATAGTGGATGTACATTTTCCTTGATATACACTTGCAGCTGAACTTACTCATGATAATCAGTTGCAGAAACGCGTTAATCGACATACTGCATTATATGCGCATTTTCTTTTTTAATAGATTAGCAAATTTATGATTTCACTGATTTTGGTTACAAGACATTCTTTCTCATTTAATATCTTATTTCTGTTGTGGTATAACTGCCGGCTTCGGTGGACGATAAGGTAGAAGAAATACGACTCATCAGAAACGGCATGTTTGGCGGTATCACTGTGATGGGGCTATAAGGTATAGTCATTAGTGTAGTTGGATAAGGTATCGTGTAAGCAGTTGTTGAAGATGGTTTTATAGTTGTTGTTCGTGTTTTTGGATTGTTTAATATCGTGGTTGACGATGTTGGTTGTGTGGTTGTAGATGAAGGTATGGTGGTGGTTCTGGTTGTCGGAGTTGTAGTGGTAGATGTAGGCGTTGTGGTTGTAGTAGTTGTAGTCGTTGGTGTTGTAGTGGTTGTTTTCGGTGTTGTGGTTGTAGTTGTAGGCGTTATAGTTGTTGTCGTAGGTGTTGTGGTTGTAGTCGTCGGTGTAGTAGTTGTAGTTGTCGGTGTTGCAGTAGAAGTTGTCGGTGTTGTGGTTGTAGTCGTCGGTGTAGTAGTTGTAGTTGTAGGTGTTGCAGTAGAAGTTGTCGGTGTTGTGGTTGTAGTGGAACGTGTTGTAGTTGTAGTTGTCGGTGTTGTGGTTGTAGTCGTAGGTGTAGTGGTTGTAGTTGTCGGTGTTGTGGTTGTAGTCGTCGGTGTTGTAGTTGTAGTTGTAGGTGTTGCGGTAGAAGTAGTCGGTGTTGTGGTTGTAGTTGTAGGCGTTATAGTTGTTGTCGTAGGTGTTGTGGTTGTAGTTGTAGGTGTTGCAGTAGAAGTTGTCGGTGTTGTGGTTGTAGTTGTAGGTGTTGTAGTTGTAGTCGTAGGTGTAGTGGTAGTTGTAGTTGTAGTAGGTGTAGGCGTTGTAGTTTGGGTTGTGATAATCTCTACACATGCCCCTTGTTCGCACATCTTAAAAAGTATATCATACATAAGTGTGTAACTTCTCTTTATAATACAACTCTTATTAATTTCAAGCAAAGTAAATACTCTTGCAGGAACAATACGATGGCTGTCACTTGTATAACTGCCCGATTTCATAAGCAAGTGACATTTGGAATACGTCCCTCCTGTCATTTCCAATGCCGCTTACCACCAGCATATTTTAATGTCCTTTTTTCTTTTTTCTTTCTTAAGATTTTGTATATATTTCCCTTACTTTATCGCTAGACCTCTTAATAACGCAACAATCTATCTGGACAAATGGAGGCGGCATAACGAGGTTTTGTTGTACATTGGACAGGAAATCAAGCTTCATATATGACTTTTTTTTTTAAATATACAAATCTATGTTATCCAACCCGACATTTTTATACAACTGGGTCCTGCATGATTAGGAACAGTCTGATCTATACGCTGGATATATAATAACGAACTATTTGTACATTTTATGTACATGCATAAGTAACAGCAATATTTGAACGTATTTTTTGTTAGAGTAAAAGTTTGAATCTACATTAGATTGTCTGTCTGTTATTTTCCCTCCTTTTTGGTTTTTGTATCAAATGTATTTGGATATGATGTCGTTTTAGTAACTATTTCATTTGTCTATTTCATTGTATTAACAATTGTCTGATTTGTCAACAATAATATTGGTTTGTTGTTCAGCATAAATATCTACCTGATTTGGATTATAGTCATTATTGAAGTTACAGGAATAAATTATTAATTATTAATAAATTGGTATGGTATTTGTTGATCTTTTATTCCGTCTTTGCGTATTGCAGAGTTATCTTCTCTTGAGAGCAGGTATTGATTGTTACGTCATTGGTTTGTGTGAGAAAATTACGTCGTTTTCTCAAAAATGGATGACATTACTCTCACAAACAAATGACGTAACAATCAGTACCTGCTCTCAAAAGAAGATAACTCTGCAATACGCAAAGACGGAATATTATGTAAGTACTTTGCTTAGAAACTGATTACTATGTTTTGTAATGGATAAGTTCACCAGGAATGAACAAGACCTTTTCAATGTTCATACTGGTATGAACGCAACTGGTAACATACATATTCCATGGAGCCCGTTAGGTATGATTTTTTTTTTTTTAAATCTTTTCAATTACGTTATTGTGTTAATAACTTATGTTTGTACTGAGTACAAGCACAACTACTAATTTTACCGTCGCTTCATTTACAGATGAACCGCTAATCTGCAGCGTACAATTCAGGGAATATGAAATACTGTTTTTATCAGTTAATATAAAATCGACACAGCACATCATACCATCACATGTGAAGATATAACATTGCCTATATTTTTTTTACTAAATTGATAATTTCTTATATTTAACTGTAGGAAATGTAATAAAGTCATAAGTGTGGTAATGCAGATGTATCAGTATCATATGGTACATACCAAACAAAGAAATGTACTCGTACAATTACCGGTAGTATTTGTTTTCAATATCCTTTCATACCAGGCACATATTCAACAATGAGGATTTCTTTTACTCAAGTTTCAGCTGACACTTGTACTCAAGTAATAGAGTTTGAGCATTTAGATGTGTATAAAAGTATATAAATATATTGTTAATATTAAATTTGATCTTTCTGGAATCCAATAGAAGACGACAATAATATATCTAATAATTATGTGATAAAATAAAGTATATGAACTCACCTTTTTAGGCAAGGGTTGTGCCAGTTCGTGACAGGCTGTTCCGTCTAGAGGTAGTGCTACGTTTTCACAAATATTGGTGTCTGGGTTGGTGCAGCTGATACCAGTGTAACATATACTGGCATCTTGTGTCTGAATATCAAGAAAATACAAATATCTTAATAGCAATAGCATAACATATTCTGGCATCTTGTGTCTGAATATCAAGAACATAAAAGCTATTTTACTATCAAGAACATAACATAATCTTGATATAAGGAGCATAACATATGTCTTAATATCAACATAGCATACGTCTTGATATCAATAACATAACATGAATAAGGATTTTATATGTGAATATCAATATCATAACATTCACTAGCATGTTTTATAAACTAGCATCTTGCATTTCAATATTAATGACATAACATAGCGACGTCCTGTATCTTAATACTGATAAGATATGATACCTTTTAAACTAGAATCTTACATCTTTAAACAACATGAATAACACAAACTGTCTTTTGTATAGATGCATCAATTACACATTACAAAAGGTGGTTTTATATCATAATATTAATATTTTTACTTTTTACTTGTGCGTTATTATAACTTTAATGCAAAAAAAAACAGTAATTTTCGCTTCTGTCAAATGTGATTACTTAGTCTCGACAAATTTCTTAAATGTTCTTAAACATATGTAGAAATAGTTAAAAAAAAAAAAGAAGGAAAAACAACTTGCACCGAAAAATGTCATTTTATTGCCAAATTACATTAAAAGCCTAAAAAACATCTTTAACCCATAATATTGACACAGTCCTTAATTACCGAACAGCAAATACTATAGCCATCTGTCACTTCAATATATGGAGGTACAGCGAAATGATATCCATACAAATACATAAAAATAAACCTACAACATAAAATGACAGGTTTTTGCCAAATCACAGAAAATCAAATATCTGAAAGTAACCTAAATCCTAGAAAGTTGACGCACTACCAAAAGAGCAAATATCAAAAACGAGTGGCAAAACAACATATTGAGGTACATTAAAGTTACATTAAAATAAACAAAGAAGCAAAACTTACCCCACAAAATGTCGATGTACTACCAAATTCGTATTTGCATTGTATATCTGCTTCCAATTCCCGTCCTGGCTCTAAGGCAGAGTGGTATGCGAGGTAGGTGTCGTTTACAAAACTATTGACTAATAAACAGTCGTTTTTACCCGATCTAAAAGAGAAAAGATACAAGTTTTTTACTATTACTGTGCATGTTTTCGAGTACTGCTAAATACAAAATAATAATACATGAGTGTATCGTTTACTTTGGAGGCATGATAGTCTAGTGGTAGGACACCGGGCTCGTGACCGAAGAGTTGTGGGTTCGAGATGAAAAAGATATTGGCTGTTGCAAAGGCCTTATAACAACGGATAATAATTTATGAACCGCCCACTCAGTCATAGCTTGACAAAGGGACCAGTCGGTCTTGAAACGTTGCAACACGTTTAATATACACATTGTTTTTGTTAAAAGTAAAACTTTGATATCATATATTTCCAAACTAATGAATCTTATCGAAGAAAAATAAAAAATCGAATTATTATTATTATTGATTTTATTAACTTCTATTGAAGGTTGGTTACGTAATATAATCTTGACATAAATCACATAATCAAAACCTTTTTGAAAGTACAGGATTANCTAGTGGTAGGACACCGGGCTCGTGACCGAAGAGTTGTGGGTTCGAGTTGAAAAAGATATTGGCTGTTGCAAAGGCCTTATAACAACAGTAAGATTTTTAAGGATCCCTGTGCCACACAAAAACTAGAAAGTAAAATGTAATTTTACCAGCTTCACAATAACTTGAACAAATCATTTCTGAAAAGAAACCCACACCCCGCAGGACATCCATGGAGGACTAAAAAAGATGTAATAAACAAAGCAAAAATAAAATCAACAATATTGTTTATGAGAGTGGAAACGCAAAGTGACAAGACAGGATTCCAGATCAGAATACAATCATTCTAACCAGCTGAGCTTCCTGATCAACCATCGTTCCCTGACCTAGTTTAACTTCGGTTATTCTCAAAACGACACTAAAGGGGAGTAGCTGCATCAATGAAAATTACGGTTGAAAGATTTAGTGTTTTACCTGCAGTGGGACAGGGATCTTTAATAATATAACTGCGCCCGAAGACAACTCATGAATCGCCATACATATGCTTACGTTTGTGAGCTCGTGTATATGCGTTCAATGGTACAGTTTGACCAATGAAAAGGGTGAGAAGCCTTGTCGGATGTGCCAGGCGACCAATCAGAAGAACTCAGGTAATTATCTTCAGCACAGCTAGTTTCTGTGACGTCACCAATCATTCCCATACTACAAATTTCAAAAATCATTTACATGAAAAAGTGAAATTATTGTTCACAAAATATTTTGTATAAAACATTCACACACGCACGCACCTTTTTTTATATATATATATATAAAGGATTACTGTTATGAGCAAAGAAGTAATACTGACAGTGCCAATAAAGGAATTTGTCAAATGATCGGGGCAATGCATGAAACTTAAATATCACAACATATAATAAAGAGATAAATAGTCATCGTGAAACATTACTACAATATAGAATACAAGCTATCTCTTGTACATACGGTATCTTCAATAAGATTCATAAGTTTTGAAATGTGTAGATCAAAGTTTTACTTTATATACAAACAATGTACGATGCGACATGTTCAATACGTACGTCGTTTGATTATCAAGTAAAACTTTGATAATGCATTCGGTAAGCTTGTAGCCGAAGACTAATGCTAGTATTAACATAGTATAGTAATGCTTATGTATAGTATATACTAAAGATGTTACGCGGTAGGGTACGCTTGCAAAAGTCATCTCCGAAACTCTCCAGACTTTCTAGATATAATTACATGTAGTTGAACCGCGACATAATGACCCTCGTACTATCTCCCACCTCTCTTACCGCCAACATATTTCAACGTCCCCGTTCTTCTTTTTCTGAAGTATTCCTCTATGACTGTCCCTTAAGTTATCGCCAAATCCCTTTATAATGCCAAAACGTCTCTAGATAAATGGTGGCAGTATAACAAGCTTGGCATAATAATAATAGCAATTAGCTGCAGAAAAGATAGAGCACTATGTACACAATTTTTAAAATTATAAATGATATTCACTGTCGTCCGAGAAAGTGCGCTACGTTGAAACCAACTCCCCCCTCGGTTGCCTTGGCAATACTGGATACATATGTCAGGTTTTCAGCGACACACATCTGGTTATCCAAGAAGTATACACCTAAAACGATAATTAATATTTGGATATAGAATATTTGCCGTTTATTTTGCCTTAGAACACATCAATAGACATCCCCCATATCCAGGGGTTACGCTCACTTTCCCTCGAATCGAAGGCTCAGTGTGCAGCACCTTGTGGATGGAACGAGAAAACTAGTTTGGTCTTTTTATGTACATCAAAAGAATCTCGCTGTCGCGTAACGGTAAAAATTGACAGGCTTTGAAGTCGGGCGTCGCTCCTTTGTAATCTTCAAAGGACAAGTATCAGCCAAGTGATTGGTCAGATTTATTTACGTGGCACCAATCAAATAGCTAGCCGTGTGCCTTCAGTTTTGTTATGACATATTACAGGGGTGTAGAGAGCGAAAGTGAGCGTAACCCCTGGATATCGAGGATGACGTAACCCCTGGATATCGAGGATGACGTAACCCCTGGATATCGAGGATGTCGTAACCCCTGGATATCAAGGATGATCAATAGATAATTCATTGATAATCTTGCTAAATTCCACTTCATTGATTTTTTTGTTTTTTATTGTTCGAACGACAAAACACTGGGCGAAACTATAACTTGAGCTTTGTAAAAGAAAATCTGCTAAATCCAATCCTGATAAAGGCACATTAAGACTATGCGTTCGAAAAGGAATGTTAGTCCCAATAACAGTAAATGTCGCCTGGTATGAACAAAATTGTTTATTTTGACTTTTGTTTATATGGGTTTTTTTTATAAATAAATTCATTGCTTTATAACTAACATTAATATTTTTTGTGAGAAAAATTAAATAACATCTTACTTTGAAAAAGCTAACTAGCATCTTATTTTCGTTTGATTGATCATGAAAAGAGAATAGTATTAGAAATCATGTCTGAAGGATACTTACAATTAACATTTTCCGACGGGACAGTTTTTGTGCATTCGTGAATACATGAATATTTCAAAATGACTATTTCTACTTTGACTGACTCAATAGTAATTTAACTGAAGAAAATTATATCAACATACCGCAATTTGTATCGGAGTGTCTGTCGTCCAGAACTTCATATCTGTAATAAACTAAACATATATATTTCTAACATAGACTGATTTCATATTTAATAAATAGTTGCAGAAAATTACAATACTTAACTTAAAAATTGCAATCACTAAATCAATATTTGTTTTGCTGGAAATGGTGATGATTGGATATGTTTTTTAATATAAATTGAAACTAATGTTAATTGACATTTTTTTATGGTTACGAAAGTTTTGATTTTAAATTATTTTTTAATTATAAATTAAAAGTGTTACAAAGCCAGGTTTTAATTGGTTTTATTTAAATACTTCATGTAGCCAAATAATAATAATAATCGCACGAATAACAATTGAAAACAGCGTCATTTACGCTTAAGAGCGCTGTTGGTATGTTACACATTATTTTCAATTTCCGCTCTTGTAATTTTGGTCACATATTGTTTTCATAAATGCATTGAAAAGCAAAAATGCATTATGATATAAAGCAATTTTTTTAAATGGAAAGAAAGTTTAATACTATCAGTTATTTAAATCTGTATCCCAGTTCGAACATACAAGGGTGGAATCATTAAGGGATGAAACTCCACAATGCCCAAAACTTCCACTCCTTCATCCCTGAAATTTCATGATGAACTATTCCAACCTTTGAATTGGAAGAGTTCAAATGTGTCTTCAGGAGTGAATGTACATTTGCTGTACCACAGGGGGCACCTGTCATGATGGCAGAACATGCCAGTCTGTCACGAACAATCTGCGACACGACGAACAATATCATACCCCGTTAATCCTACAGCGAAGTCGTAGTTCGTCTTCTTGTACAGTATCAGTGTGGCTATGAAGGCAAGAAGGGCATTGGTCTGCAATACACCGTTAATGTTGTAAGAAGGGTCCTCAGACCACACACAGAAGCTATCGGTCTGAAAAACACATTATTAATTCAATAGAAAATGTGCATGATGTCGAGCTTTGATGAACTGTTTAAAGGCATAATGATATAAAAGATCATCCGTTCTGCATCTAGAATAGGGTAAGAACGCAAAGGCGACACGTCCCTTTTTTCTATTATTAAAAAAAAAACCAAAAAAAAACATGTAACCGAGGCTTCCCTGAACAGATTTATGCGTAGTCTGGCATTGAGAAGTAAATATTTACTTAATCTTATCTTGATATAGTGGACTATGAACAAAACGAAGTTCAATAGGTATACCAATTTACCTCTTTACATGTTTGTTTTTTTGTATTGGGATACCCATTATTAGCATCCAGGAAAAATATTTGGATTGGTTTGGTTTGGATGTGTTTTACATCCTAATAAAAGCTAAGGTCTTTTAAGGACGTGCCAGGTTTAGGTTTAGGAGGACAGCCGGAGTACGTGGAGAAAAACAACCGACCTGCGGACAGTATATGGCGACAGCCTCACATGGGCTATAGAATATATATGAAGGGGAAGAATTTCACCTTGCAAACCACAAGCTCGGTCAACATCACACTGAGGTCAAAGTCTGCAGCGTTACTGATTCCCATCTCTAAGGCCTGTTTTTGAAGGTTTCGTGCTCTTGTATCGACCTGCAATGATGTCAAAAATGGAATTATTAATTATGCATAGGTCTATAAAAGGAGACAATATATATAGAGAAAGAGTCATGAAACACTATGGAAAAACTGGAAGTCAAAACGAAAGGAAATGACAAACCAGAGATCCTGAATATTGAAGCACAAGAATTGTGGAATTTAAATTGATCTGAAAGGGAACATTTCTCCATCAACACGTGTGGTTCCAGCCATAATCTACCATGTTAAACGGATGTACGCCAGCAACGTTTTTAGACATATCGAACATACGTCTAGGTAAGGGGAACGAACACACTAATAACAATTGTGGAGAAGAGTTCCAACTTACGTTTTTTTAACCTGTGCCCTTATATACTGAATGTAACAGATGAAGTAAACTAAATTTGTTCTTTGCTTAAAGTTACTTCCTTTGTCAAGATTTTCATCTTTCGTCTCGATGCTGTCATTTTAAAAAAGGGAATCGTTGAATTTCGAATCTCGAACAAACTTAATTTATCATACTTTTTCTAAAAAAATATATTATTATTTATTCATGCGTTTTGTATTCTTTTTATATTTGTTTTCATTAAGGTTCTTCAAGACACTGTTTTCTTTTCCGAAATGATTTATCAAAGCTTACGTCATGTCGGAATACGTTTCTTATACATAGTAACAATTTTGTGGAGTGGTACGAGGATCATTCAATCATACCTTTACTCATAACGTAATGACGTAAAAGATAGAAAAGATGTGCGTACGGTGTTAGTAGTTCTATCTTACTCTGTGATATGCCCTACTTTTTGACATTATTTATCAATTATGGGCTTTTGTTGAGGTGTGATATGGGAACATGGACCTCACAAAGTTATATCGACCGAGACCAAGTTGAGTTCAGTATCTTTTTCCAGGTCTATATAACACATATTCACCGAAATTAAAGTCCTTTATTGTTGTATTAAATATGAAAGTACTGTGCTTTCAACTTTAAACAAGACATGGTGTTCGGAAATTGTCAGGAGAAGTACTGCATTCGACAGAGAGCATTGTAACGTCACAATAGAAGTTATGTCAAAACGTGAATATTAACCTGATGTTTCTAAAAGTGGTTACACCGAGTCAATATCATAAACCATAATTACAATTCAACCAATGAGGATATTTGAAAAATGATAACAAATATTACTTACATCTATTGCAAAATAGTTTTCATTCGTTATTTAAGGTTTGAAGACACTAATTTGTTTCTGATTGCAATTTTGCTAACTTAAAACAAATAGGCGCTAAGGTAATCCCTCATTGAGGCAGGTCTACTGCAGGGAATATTTGACACAAGTTTTCCTTTATTCTCATTGGTTGAGTCATAATATCGCGGAGGTTTGAGAAATGTAATTTGACTCGATGTTTCTATCTTTAGAAATAGTAATTCAATATTTTCTCTATGGCATCATTTAAATTGATTTCGTCGCGGTCACATTCTCACTTTTCATCTCCAACTCAACTCCAATCAAGTATTCACCCAGTTAAAGTACACTACTGGTATATGTAACTACACTGTACATATAATACAAATTATGAACCTCATTCATTACGCCAATTGCAAACGTCTGGATATTCAGGTCTGCCTCTGTTGCGTCGTTTCCTGCTGTTTCCAAGAACCTGAACAAACACAAGAACAGTAATCTTTCCATCACTTTAAAACACGGTTCTCCTTGCATTACATCTCCAGAACCCACGCAGGCATACACACATAGGGAGACATTATCCAGGAGGCATAGCTATAATAGTTAGCGCCTGATAAGGCAGCTCCTACGAATTCCTCAAAAAATGTATTGATTAATGTATATGCTAATTGTATAAATGTATATCTTTGTACTGTATAACACTCTAGAGTGGCTTATGTTAGCTAGATAGGGCGCTATATCAAATGTTGTGTATTATTTCATTACTATTATACAAAAAATGTATATAAAAGTATATATTACCTCCTAAAATAGTATAGTTTGGGTTAGAGAGTATATTACCTGCGATAAATAATTGCTTACTAGAGCATGGTGCATATTACCTGGGAATGGTATATACTACCTGGTGAATTGTATATTTTATCTGGTGAATTGTATATATTACCTGGTGAATTGTATATTTTACCTGGTGAATTGTATATTTTACCTGGTGAATCGATATATTACCAGATAAATTTTATATTTTACCTGATGAATTGTATATATTAACTGGTGGGTTTCATATTTTACCTGATGAATTTTATGTTTTACCTGGGAATTGTATATATTACCTGGTGAATTGTATATTTTACCTGGTGTAAATAAGGTAATCAATCCAAAGTAGCATTTCGGCGACGTACTTGGTTTTGATGTTAGCACCACCTGCATAGCGCTTGCGTCTGTTTTTGGTGGTTTTCATCGGTACTAATATGACATAAAAATGGATGGAAATATATTTTAAAAACTGAGTGGAGGAAAACCAATAAACTTTTGCCAATGGGCATCCTTTTAGGTTTCAGATAAAACCAGGTATTTAACAATGTCGTATACAAATTCATATAGCACAACAAGTGAAATGTTTTTGTGTGATGTTTAAAGAACCAGTACGGTATGTACTCTGTCACCTTCAGCAGCAAATAACCAGTTAAGTTATACAAGCAAAGGTATACGATATTTACGAGTTGCCATTAAAATTGGCATCGAACGGCTACACTATGTATGTACATTCAATTGTAAATGTACGAGTTACTTCACTGGTTGTGTTATATGAACCTGTACAGAAATGTTTGAAAAAAGCAATGCTACACAGAGAGTTTACTTTCTGTCTTACATCTTCGACATGTTTTTGCATGCAACCTATATCAATTATACGTACACATATTAACCCTCTAGGTAGTTTATATAGCCTGATTTGCAGTCCATTAACATATATTCGTTTCTACTTAATATGTTAGATTTGTTATTACTTATAGTATAACCCATGAAAAATACTCTACCGTGATTCTGCAAGCCTAGGAAACTTCTGTTTTCTAGGTCAAGTCTGACGATTTCATGAAGATAATCCTCTCCATAGCCCAGGGCTTGTATTTGATAAAATTGACTTTCGTGGCTAAACGTTCCATACTGCCAATATGCAAATTGAATAAATGATGATACTTACTATACATTTACAAAACAAAGAGTGGTCCGTTAAACCTTCTTACACGCAAACAGAATAAGCAGGGTTATACAACCGATTAATCGCCAACATACTGTAAACCAAGCTTGCTTCGCGAGTAGTATATCATCGCGGTATTTAGGGAGGAATGAGTAGCAATTATCTTTAGAAATTTTTATATCATGCACATTTAACAAGGAATAAATACGTTTCAAACGCTCTAATTATACAATATAATAACGTGAATAAGTCAAGACTATTCATTCAAAGCAATACATTCATATTATATATAGCGTTACATATTACATCATCCACTGAAGTAGACATTTCGATATAAGTGCAAGAATCACGTACGTGTAATGATAATGACAATTGAGACGACTACCTCGTGTACCAGTCTTGTGAATAAAACAACACGAGAATATCGAAGTGTCAACAAGACAATTCTTCTGAGCGTAGAACTCTTTGATTTCGAGGATGTTACAACACCTACCAGTTGACATGGCCGTGTGGTCCTGTCCCTGCATCTTACAGTTATGGCAGCTCCTTCGTTGGGGTTCTGGTACGTAGCATGATGCTGTGATAAAAGCATATTAACATTAGCAAACAATTCATTCTCGAATTGTCACCAACAAGTGATCGTGTGAATTCAACATAAATCAATATTTCCAATCAACAGTTCATTTACGTACATAAAACATGCAGCAAAATACATTCCACAAAATTAATAACTTGATGCAGTCATGAAACTTTACATCTCAAAGCAGATTATTGTTTACCAAAATGATCAGCGCCATTATTATGCATCGAGATGTAACGCTTCATTTGATTGGTCAATCGAAATAATTTGCGACGGATTAACAACGATATACCGTCCACATTTTCATTTGATGCCTAGATGCCTATGAGTAATGACGTCAATGACTACGACTGACCCCGATATGTCACGGAATTTAATTTTAATGGCGTCAAGAACAATAGCGTGACCGCGAGCAATGTAATAAAGTCTCTGTTTGAATGTTCTCGGCATCACCAATCCAGGACAGAGTGACCCAGATATAAAATGCTTGACAAAACACTTAAAACCGTCGTTTCTTTAAGTGATTTTAACTTATATACATGATATACCGCATGAGCCTCGGGTTAGACACTCAAAAAACATCACCCCCACTGGTTGGAGATTTCTCTGTCACACCCTCAGGGTAGGGGAAGACTCTATCAATCACGTTTCTAATGAATAAATATCATGGTTAAGTCTCATTATCAAAGAAAAAAACACGGCATTACCGAAGTGCCAACAAAACCATGATTCGAACCTCAAAATCGAAAAACCTCAGACCTAAAAATATGAACAACTGTGATTAACATGGAGACCTTTAAAAACGTAATGGAAAATAAGACCGGTTCACATGCTCAAGCATGGATTCTTTGCTCAAACAAGTATTCTTGTTACTCGCTTAAATCATGCCATAAATTAATTAATCATTTAGTCAAACGTAAACATTAAAAACAGTATTCGGATCTAAGTCTCTTTAGATGTTTTCCGAATTAATGACAAAGTATGATTTCTTAACCATTTATAACAAGAACAAGAAATAAGGCTTGAGCACAAAATATAAGCTTGAGCATCAGACGGTTTCATGAATACGCGGCCAGGTGTTCCGGGTGAGTAAGAATTTTCTGCTTCATTGACCACAACCGCCATGTAAATCTAGGTAAAATCCTAGTAATATCACGTCCTCATAGCGGGAACCGGGGTAGTGGCAACAAAACAACAAGGCACGCTTTTCAGCATAATCAACAACATAAATTTCATATGAAATGAAAACGAGTGTAGGATCCTTTTTATCACATAATCAAGATGTATGGCATAATTCGTGTAAGACGACAACTTCTATGCAACCTTGAAATGTACAAAGCGGCCATTTTGAATCCAGTGAGTAAGTCTGTGACGTCATGTAGTTGTCCTAGGCGTGACGTCACAATTGAAACTGACAACCAATCACATGGCGTATAGGTCATATTACATTAATGTATACGCAAACAAATATGGCATGGGTATATTCATTGGATAACACAGTACATTGTGTGATAAAAAGGAAATAGCATACTTCCCAATTATATCATAATGGCGACAATAAAACTTGTCCATCGTCTTTATAAACCTTCATCTTTATAATCATAAGGTGTAAGCTTGCTGTATTGTTTTACTAAAACGCTGATGAGCCCACCTGCAATGAATTCGTTTGAGACTTCCCGTTGATAGAGGGAACAAAAGGTAGATATCTTCTTCCCATTACTATGTCGACTTCCTCGTTCCCGTTTATCGTTAACTTTAGCTGAATTGTTTGAGGAAAGCCAAAGTCTGTTGATCGCTTTTGACGTAACGGCCATACATTTCCACCAAGTTGAACAATTTCTATATTAAAGAAAAATATGGAAATAAGAAATAAATATTTTGTTGTTATTGTGTATGTACATACATTTATAATGATGTTATGATTTCTATAAATTTGGTTGACCTATGATGGGGTTTTCTTTTTTGGGGGGGGGGGACGATATATTGGGGGGGGGGGTTGACGATATATATCTTATCATAGCATAATATTTTACAATATTAATTTGTAAAAAAACAAGTATGATTGTGTATGGAACTCTTTTCAAACAAAGTAATTCCAAATGTTAGAAAATTTTGAACACGGTAAAATTAAGATTTCATTTTCAATACGATAAATACTAAACATGCGTGTGCGTTTTCAATATAACTTATCAATTTATGCGTGCGTTTTATCTTATTTAATTAATCAATTCATAAACAAAATGTTTAGCAATACATCTTAATTTTGTACATAAAACTGTTCCGTATACCGTACCTGTCGATTGAGCATTCTCAATAGTCATAAGTTTTTGTCCTGATAAGATATCAACACAGGTAAAAATCATCCACAAAATTGACGATAGCATATTTTCCTCGCTATCAGGTACCAACACACCTGAGACTTAGCAAGCACCCGTCTTTTCGTCACGATTATCGCGTTACACAGGAATAATGCAGATTGAAATTGCACTCCTTTCACGCATGATTAGATGTTTGTGAATTGCAATTGTGGGTGGTAGTTGTAATGTAGCGATCAACCCTGAGGCATGTTTTATTGAATTCACTCAAGCATAACATTTGCGTCACATAGATAACTGTATATAACGTTACTTTGGAATACAAAATGATTTCATTCTAAAATTTATTGTAACAACTTTTAATTTGCTATTTATGATCATCGATAGAATTTAAACAACCCATTTCTAAAAGTGTTCATAATTTGCAAATATATTTCTATTAGATACCGAAAATGATCTTTAAAACAGTGCTACACACGTGTAAATATTCTTATATCAGACCAATGTAATTTTAAAAAACTCTAATGAAAACAATCTTTATTTAATTTAAAAAAGTGAAAATAGAAAGCAAATACACCACAGCTCCGAGAAAATACAAAAGACAAAATAATGAAATGAGTACAAACCAAATAAAGAAAATTTACAGAAAAACCACTCACAAACAAAACATTTTCGGTCCAGATTCACCGGAAAGCACCGCAAAATGCATCTTCCATGTTATGGCCCATAAAATCTAGGAAATTATGTTGGTCATAGACTATTTATTTGATCCATGGTATACGTAGTATACATACCTACTTGCATACTAACTCCAGAAGTACATCTGAAGACATGTTTACTTCGTCTCGTCTATTTCATAATGTCCTTTTTTCAATTATGGAATTCTGATGTCTGCTTAGGTTAAATATGCACAATAAACTTCCATAGACGTGACACAAACATCACGACGGGTACCACATGCGGTGCGGGAAGCACTTTATTTTCCGGTTAATGTTAATTAATCTTATATATATCATCATGTCCTGTTTTTCGACTGTGGCATTTTGGTGACTGCTCTAGATTAAACATGTTCTCTTCGTCCGAACTCGTTGATGAAAGATTTCCCTAGATGTGTCAAGCACATCACGACGGGTTCCATATGCGGTGAAGGATCCACTTTATTTTCCGGGTCATTTTTATGTAGCCTTCCATTTCTTGTAGGGGATGATGCCTTGTCTTTTGGTTTGGTTTATGTAAAACTAACCTTAAATGGGTTCTTACTGATTTTTAATTTCTAGTAACTATTTTATGTAACGAGGTATTCGACTCAGTTTGTGGACTAACAGTCCTCGAAAGTTTTTTATTCAAATTTTCATAATAATATGTAATAAAGTTACAATACATTCCTCGAAAGTTGCTGTGTAACTGGAAATAATTTCAGCACGGTATACATGAAATACTGGTAAAAAGATAAATCCGTTGCTTGTAGCCAAACGTTTTTTATAAATAAAGTTATAAGCGGCTTCACAGCCATATTTCCTATTACACTGTATTGCTACATAGAATTCAGACTATTTTATACTTGGAACATTTATTCTTTTGGCTTTAGGTACCACTGATGAGTCATATATGGACAAATGGGCCATGTAGTACAGCAACAAATTTAATTTAATTTACTCAATTTCCTAAGAGATATTTCGTTCATTGGCTCGAGATACTCAATTTCTAAAGAGATATTTCCTTCATTGGCTCGAGATACTCAATTTCTGCAGAGATATTTCCTTCATTGGCTCGAGATACTCAATTTCTAAAGAGATGCGTCCTTCATTATTTCGAGATACTCAATTTCTAAAGAAACATTTCGTTCATTGGCTCGAGACACTCAATTTCTGCAGAGATATTTCCTTCATTGGCTCGAGATACTCAATTTCTGCAGAGATATTTCCTTCATTGGCTCGAGATACTCAATTTCTATAGAGATGCGTCCTTCATTGGCTCGATGCTTCCTACGTAATTTCTGGTAATTATTCCGTGCTATTGTAACCTACTGTATTCAACCTGTGCTATGTGCCTACTCATGAAAGCTTACAAACATGTTATCTGTTTGCCATTTATGTCACCCAGTGACATAATATTTAAGAGCATGTTCGTACCTAGCCCGTGCGCCTCTACGGTAAATTGTATATACTAATTGGTCAATATAATTCAAACACACTCTAGGCAAACTGGTAATGGATAGCAGCCGACAAACTTAATTTCTTATTAGTATTCCACCTAACGACGTTACTCAGTACTTCTAATCAACTTCTGGTTTGTCAATACACTTGAGATGTTATTTTCAGTTTCTGCCGATTAATTTGATTTTTCAATTGTTTAGACTGGGAAAAATATCCATCTAAATTTACATGTTTCCCATGTTTTCTATTTTCAACATGTCCAAGCCTAAAAATAACAAAACACATAAAAATTACATGTAAAATGATTCTCTATCAATGGTTATTACAATATGTGTACTACGTCAGCAATATTAGTGAAGAAAATGATGTTTACACTACCTGTTATATTAAGCGAAAAATATTTCTTGCTCCATATATTTCACACTTTTTTATTTTTACCTGCGAAACTAAAGGGTTTACTATGTATAAGGAAAAATGGAGAAATCATTTGAAGAATTCCCTTAACAATCTCAAAAAATAGAAATCAGAAGCCAATTTAAAATCTTAAGCTGCATGATGATAAATTTAAAATGAAATCTAAACCTCCCTTACTATGTGGTATCTGCTTCGAGATCAAAGGTTAATTACCCATTGATAGTAAAGCATGGGTGACGTCGTTGAGTGTTGATATATTTTTCGCATATCAAACATTAGGTACCAATTGTNGGGGGGGGGGGGGGGGGGGTCCCAAAAGAACGACTGATAAGATTTTTGTCGGATCAGGAAAAACACCATCAGTCAAGTGTCATCTATTTTGTTGTGCACAAAATAAAATGTCATTTTGTTGGAACCGCTGAATATTGATTATGAATATTTGCACTACTGAAATGGTAATGGAAAATTCAATATTCTGAAACGTGTTAGGATCACGAATTTGGTAAGGTAAACAACTTTGAATGGGGTTATACTCATGCATTTTTGAATTCGCGTAAAAGAGATAGGTAACTAGTTAAAACGTGTTATTGCGCTCTTGAAACATTTCAATGAGTCCTTTTTTTAACGTTTCAGAATTGAAACGGTAAATATAATGTTGATAGAATGCAATTTCAATCGGCTGTTACTTTTAAATTCGTCAATTTGCGAAAAGAGAGAAAAAGTCTGCCAAGAAAATTACCTACGTATACATTACATGATGGTTTAAGATTTCACAATTGTGACTAGACTTGAGTTCCTGGGCATGATCAGTTGTGTATTCATACGTTGATAAAGCTTATATAAGATAATACAAAAGTCAACTTACAATGTAAACAGCCTGGAGACATTTATACACTTTGTCACTCAAACCAATAGCCATCGATATGGTATACCAATTTGATTACATTATCTTATCCATTAATAATGGCTAAACGATTAATATTAAAATAACCCTTAGCCGAGCATTGTCCTCCAACTGTCGAGACATTTATTAATGTTTTGAATTTTGTCGGGTGTTTTTATAAATCAGGGATACAACGTTCAGCTTAAAGCCATCGTTTAGTAGTTAGCGCCTGATAAGACAGCTCCTGCGATTTCCTCAAAAATTGTATTGATTAATGTATATGCTTATTGTATTAATTATATATCTATGTACTATAAAGCACTTTAGAGCTAGATAGGGCGCTATATCAAATGCTGTATATTTATTTTAATTCTTTGTGGTATTTTATGCTGATAAAACGAACAAATACCTGTAACTTATTCTTCAAATTGTTTATCATCAGAAAATTTAGTTCTACAAAGAACTTTTTGAGATTGAGAAAAGCATACACTTGCTGTTACCTACCGCATGTTTTAAGACGCAATTTAAAGTGTAACCCCCTCCTGAATTGAGGATTTACTTTTGTGCCCTTAGCTACTTCGCGACACAAATCGACCAAACTAATCTGCTATAACAATTGCAAAAAATAAGGGGCCTGTATTATTTCTCTACTTCCTGCCAACCTTTTCGTTTTCAAGTGCCACGCTTGGCAACAATTCACTTTTAGCCTTAGTACCGAGCGTTCGCCCAAGTGAGGAAGACAATGGCTTCTGCCCCCATGCCGGGATATACCAAAGTCCTTAAAACAAGTGTTTGTATTTGCTGCTTAACGCTCAGCTAGTAGGTCAATAGCAGCAACTGGTTACTCCATGTTCAGTAAAATATGACCAGGTGGAATATTGTGCTGGATGCCTTCAAAATGGTATTTCAATGAGGAAGAACTCTGAAGTCGGTATCAGATCAGTGCTGTGGCAAGGAGGCAACTACACCATCATATACTACCACCAGTACACATGCATGTATCACAAAAGGAGGCACGTCCTTCAATGACCTTAGTTGTTACTAGGACTCTAACCCCAATGAAACTTCACCAAACCTGCATCAGTAAGGCATTTATCACCTATACACACATCTGTTAACACATCCCTAATCCTGAAAGGGTTAAAACCCTCAGCTCTAAAACTCAAACACCACCAAGCACCCACAAAAAAACTCTCTATTGCATTACACATTTCTAATCTTTTGGATAAAACAAATCATTCTTTCTAAACTGGCAGTTAATGTAAATATCTTGCCACCGTTAAATGCATATTTAAGTTTTGAAGCACTTTAAATATTTCTATTCGCATTATGTTTTCTATATAATTGGAATTTTTTGTTTTAACGATTTGGTGTGTGTGTGTTGGGGTGGGGGGGTGGGGGGGTGGGGGTCTGCGCTTGACGTCCTATTAACAACTATAGTCATTTAATTGATTGAGTTTATGGAGGATAACCGGATTATCCGAAGAAATACCACCGACCTGCGTCAGTATCTGGTGATTGCCCCACGTAGGCTTCGAACCTGCGACACAGTGATGGAGGACAATTGACCATAGACGATCGGGCGCCTTGACTACTCGACCACGGCGGATGCAACTAGTTATAATGTTTATGGTATTGTAATATTAACAAAGTCGTCCATGCAAAGTAGCAATGCAACGTTTAAATTTTCATTGCCGGTGGTAATTTAGATTAACTTATATGAATAATATATTTATCTTGTCACAGTATAATAAGATATGCGTATGATGTAATCTGGCTGTTTCAACATAAGTACATGTACTAGGTAAACCCGGTCTACAAGTAAATAAGATAAGCATGGGCCAACCGGAGAGTTGCGTACATGTCCAACGTACGTGTGCTTTGTTTATCTTTCAGCTTAAGGATGAACACCTCTGAGAAGTCAAAAAAATCCTGTAATAAACTTTTTTCTGATATTGATTTTTGGAAAAAGGAGATAATGGCATAGTAAGAAATGCAAAAAAAAAATATGTCCGTGTGTTCGTTTTAGCGCTATGATCGGTCAAAGATACCAATTTAACACGATAGGTGATTTTAGGTGAATTTTCGGGTTTTTACCGTTTGCAGAACGAATTCATACAATTTCTTCCAAGTGTGTTATCAGATATGTATGAATGTTTGTAGAATTGATAAAATATTATTTTCTTTAAAATTATGGAAGTAAAACTTCTTAATGTTATTCATTTTACTCAGAAATGCGATTTTAGTTACCCCCTACCCCTTTTTTAAATGAAAAAATACACATTTTTTCACCATATTTTGCAGATTAAACGCTTGATATAAAAAAAAATCCTGTATTAAACTTTTTTTAGTATTCAATGAATCAAATGAAATTGTGTTTCTCCTTCTAAAACAGCCACAAACATGGGGGGTCGGTGTGCTTCTTCTTTTGTTCCATTATTATTTGTGTTATTTTTCACCTTTTTCGGGGTCAAAAATCAAAAGTGCTTCAGTTACCCTAATATGTAAAAAAATAATACCCATTATATATTAAGTTTCCACTTTTTTGCATATTATTTTAATCATATTGAACATTATAAAGTTGTACAGCAAAATTGAACCTGCTACATTTAACAATGGTGACACAATGACAATTTAAGTGATCAATCTAGTGTCAAAAAAGGAGAAATTTTGCTTTTTGTGAAGCGCAAGAAATTCACATAAATACACTTTTTCAAAATGGCCGCCAAAATGTTCTACACACAACAGACATCTAGTTTTTTGACATGTTTTTCAGATGTGTGTTTGCTATTAAACCTATCATAATTTGTTAAATATTACAAAACCCCGTTACACCAGATCAAAACGAGACTTGAACGTGACTAAAACCTCAGAAGAGAACATCCTTAAGCAATGTTTTATTACAACCCTGGCAGGATTAATGTTTAAAGTAAGACTGTTATCGACACAACATGGACATCTGGATATGTCGCGTTTTGCCGCAGTCCACGGATAAACATGCCTGTTTTATTTTGAGTGTTTATATATATAAAGTCACGTCTGGAAAGTGCTTTAATAAGCAATGTCTGTGCCTAATCCATTTGTATCTTCCATGCAATAAAATTGATTTGATTCATGGTTAAAAATATTCGTTGGGTATTTAGTTCCACAAAATCTATTTTCACCGCTAGTAAAGAACAATTTATCCTTTGCGAATAATACCAACTATGCAGTAACGAAAGGCTGTTTCATAACCATACGTAATTTTAGTGATTGTCAAACGAGTTGAGTATTGCCATAGAGTAGAAATGTCATGCGAATGTAAATATTGAATGCTTGAATCCTATTCTTATGAGGTTCATGGAGTATAAATCTTATTTGGCCATGGGACCAATTTTATGCAATTCATTTATATCATTTTTGTTTAACTCAAGACTCATTGATGTTGATAAGTCCATAAACAGCTATAAAACATGATTAAATATCTTTATTCACATTCAGTGCAATTGTGATATTATTTTATAAACAATAAAACATTGGACTTGTGCAAGCAAAATACTATGGAAGGTACGGATGCAGATAACGTCATCACTCACTGTGAGACAGTGTCCTGGTAAATATATCTGGGTTTTTTTACAACGTTAATGCAATATACCATCAAATTTATGTTTATTTCGATCTGAAATTCCTGGGTTAACAACAATTGTAAACAATATATAAAAAACGTTCTACGTCCCGCATTAATTTGCTAAAATATTCATACGCGAACTGAAAACAAATGTATATAGTAGTATAACAAAATTGCACTAGATGTTTCCCGGATGTTCTCGTAACTCACTCACATATACAAAGTATATTTATATTTTCAGCTTGCTATTGTGAATGAAACATGTTCGATCTTTACTACTCCTTTATTCTGAGATGGAAATTTGGCGGCTTCCACGTGCGACCATGACCTTTGACACAGAATGAAAGCTGTTATCATTTTGAACAGAGATAAGCGACACATCACAGCTGTGTTTTGTTAACTGAACTCGCTTCTTAACGATGAAACGTATGACTGGACAGAGGGAGCGCTATGTTTTTGTTTGCTTCATCCTTTGCAGTTTCTTATCCCAGGTAATGAAACGATTAATTAATAATATTATTAATAATAGATTCTTAAATACCGCTTTATCACAACCTAGTTAGTAGGTCGTCTCAAAGCAGTTCACAAATTATTATCCGTGGTTATAGGGCCTTTGCAACCAGCCAATATCTTTCTCAACTCCTTGGGGAGCATACAGCAGGTGCTGCCTTTTCGGTGCTCACAGCTAGCATTCAACAATTCTAGCACTGCCCAACAACATACTCATTTACAGCTGAGTAGACTGGAACAAGAAGAGTAAAATATCTTGCTCAAAAATACAACAAAGTGCCGTGCCGTGACTAGAACCCGCAAACCTTCTGTCACGAGCCCGACGTCCTATCACTAGACTATCGTGCCTCCTGATCTGATGTATGCTTCAGAGAGTGTGAAATTTCGATCAGAACCGAGGATGTGCCTAGGTTTTGACACAAAATTCTGGACCTGAGGGTAGAATTTCCATATCTCATGTAACTACATAATTATATCTTATTTCCAACCTCTGAAACGAAATGTTAGTAAGAAACGTCATGGGAAATTTCAATATACTTCAAATTATCTAGCATCAGAAAACTAAATAACGGTTAGCAGCAGAATCTTTTGATGGATTTTTATTGTATGTAAATACAGACTACGCGTATATTCTTTGAAACAAAACAGACTAACCCACTTACAAGAACAAAATAAGGCGAAACAACGTTCTTTGTATTTTTATAGGTATACTGTCTGTAATAAAATAGTCCTTAGAAATATGAAGAGAAAGCGCCTATTTAAATATTTAGTATGTTCATGCAGAAAGCTCAACAAATAAACAGTTTCACTTCACTGTAAGGTCGGTGAAAAGATTGATGTAGCACAACCAAAAGTTGTTTATATGTGACGTTTCGATGACTAGTATGTTCTCTCTCACTTTCATCAGACAAATGACAAGTGAAGCGTATATATAGACAATGTATAATATATTTACGAGTTGTCCACAAATCGACACGGTGGCCAAGTGGTTAAGGCGTCTGACATTCTCGTACCATTTGCCCTCCTCCACTGGGTCCCGGGTTTCAGACCGACGTTGGGCAGTCGCCAGTTACTTGCCATAGGTCGGTGTTTTTTCTTCGGGACTCAGGCTTTCCTCCACCACCAAAACCTGGCACGTCCTTAAACTATTAATAGCACGTAAAACACAAACAAACAAAATTCACAAATCGATGTCGATTCGGCTACATTGTAAGCGTATGTACACTTAACTGTTATATATAAACCGAAATGAATCGATTCAGCTATTCTTTGTTTAATACTTAGTCATAGATGTGCGAGAGTCTAAAGCGGAAACTACGTCTACGACAATGATTCGGGAAGACGAAGAATTCATTTCACATGAACACACCCATTGACGATGCACTTAGATGCATTCGCAAACGCTTAAAATTAGACAGATCGTTGGGTAAAACCACAAACCTCCAGATTAAGAATATCATGGATTTGCAACATGAATCTTTTCACAATCCATACTTTCCAACCTGAAGAAAACGTTCAGAAATATTCATTCTAAGGTCATGTTTCACTAAGGACTTTTCAGTTTTGCTCAGTTCAAAAAACATGGAAACTATCATACCTATTAAACTTTGTTTTGGGTACAAAAGATAACGTTCTCTAAATGTGGAATTCCAAATTAAAAAAAAAAAAATACAAAAACAATATATCCTTGATTTATTTTACAAAAAAATATGGAACAAGTTTTTACAACTTAAATTAATCACTCTTGTTGGCACTGATGTTAGGGCGCGGATGATTTTACTGTAGCAGGAACCGGAGTACCCGGAGAAAACCCACGTGGTCCGGCAGGTGAGCCCATACATTTTTGTAAACGTAAAATACATTTTAAAAAGTAACAAAAACGGCGGTGAATAACGTAACTTCTAGCTTATTTCCCCTTCCGTTACATTGCGCACACACCTGAAAACATCATGTTTAGGGAATACATCCACAGATTGCCCGCCCCGGTAGATTGTCCACGGGTTGTCTGATACACAAAAACTAGTATACGTAATGGGTACAAGGTTCAATTAAAGTATTGTGTACATGAAACGCTCGCATGATCTTATCTGGTTATGTAACAAAGCGATTTGATTGCGAGTTGTTTAACGTTATATATTATGGACATATCTTTAGTGCCATTCCTTATTCTGACGAAAACAGCCATGGCGATACCTAGACTCCCATCAAATACTGTTTATATCATTTGAATAAGTAGTTTAAAAAAACATAACTAGTATTTATATCAATATTAACTATAACTTTATAATTTGGTTTGGTTTGGTTATATTTTGTTTAACGTCCTATAGCAGCTAAGGTCGTTTAAGGACGTGTCTTCATGTGTGTTGTGTAAGCGTGCAAGTGTGTATGTGTGCCAGAGACAGTGTATGTTGGTGTACTTGGCTCCTTGAGATAGGACCGATTTGACGCCGAATTTATAGTGTAATCTCACTGACACGTCCTGCCGAAGGCATCCAGCACAACATTCCGCCCGGTCACATTATACTGACAACGGATGAATCAGTCGTTACTATTCCCCTTAATGCTGAACGTTCAGCGGGGAATAACAACTAACATTTTTAAGGACCTTTGTATGTCCCGGCCTGGGGACAGCACTTTATGATCTGAAGCAGCAGTTTTGGCATTGCATGATGAAGTTTTATCATTATAAAGAGTAGATTGATCACTACCGAAACACCTGGTCTTATTCTCGTTGTGCTTTTTCAATGGTCCTCGTGTAAATATTGATCAAATTTGTCCTCGTTTTATTGATTATGAGTTCGAATTATAGTTTTGTTTACACTTCGATGTCTTTTTATACTATTATAAGCAGTTTAATTATTGCGTGATGTATTTGTATCATAATAGCTAGTAATTCGATCACTGGTTGTTTTATCAATATAATTACGTGTAGTAGTTTTATCGTAATGATTAGAAGTTTTATCATTAAACAAAGCAGTTTTATTGTCATGCCTAGTTGTTTTATGATTTTACTAGTAGTTTCCCATCATCATAACTAATAACTGTATCACTAGATGTTTTTATCGATATGATTTCTTGCTACTACACGTAATTATATTAATAAAAGCAACCAGTGGTAATTATCATTATAATAACAAGTTTTATCATTATACTGGACAGTTTTATTGTCATTGTTTTATGATTTTACTGGTAGTTTTCCATCAATATAACTAGTAGGTCATTTTTTCATTGTATAACAAGTGATTTTATCAGTATAAGAAGTAGTTTTACTATTGGCTTATAATGTCAACAAATAGCTTTATCATACATTATAATATATATATTTTTCCCTTTTTTTTATTGCCGCACAATGTTTTTGGAATACTGCCAGGCTTGAGGCCCTGGATTCAATATCCTTACAAAAAGATGTACTCGTGCAAGAGGGCTCTCATTCATTCATTCTTTCATTCAGTCGTTTAATTATTCATTCAATTGTTTACTTATTCATTCATTCATTCCTTTTCATTACATCCTTCCTTTTACATTTATTCCATTTTTACATTCAATTCTTTCTTTATTCACACTCTTTCACTCATTTCAGCTATTTATTCATACATTTTGAAGTTTTCTCATTCATGATATATACAAAGCTACTATATAAAACTTAGTAAATGTACTGAGGCATGACACAGATAAGGCAGGGAGGAGGGAACCCCCTGATTGGCCAACTAGGCACCGGATACACCACTAATGAACATGCGAGGGTAGCAATCATTTCAAACTAATGAGGGGAGAGAACTTCTTTAAAAAAGCAATCTAAGTAATATTTAAAAAATAATTGATTAAGGTCGTTATTATTAAGAACTTGTTCGAATGCACCCCATTTATTTTGGAAGGGTAATAGAGATTTATTTTTCATCGCAATAAAATTCTCTGCTTTCATTGTTTTTGCAAAAATAATCTTACACATATCAAAATTTGGAATGGAGTCTTTAATGCGGCTACAGTATATAAGATGTTTTATTAGTATTAGAAAATGGTTTAAATATATTTTTGGGCATTATTACGACATTTGTAACAAACTGTCTATAGATAAACTTTAAATCCTTGTAACCGAACATGAGCGAGACAATATCATCCTTTCTAGTCGGTATCACAACTTCATTATTTTCTATTTTGTTTCGGTATGTTTGCTTCCAGTTCTTATCAATTTTGTTCACTATAGAATAGTACTGAATAAAGTTTAAAGAAGGAATCGTTTCCAAATGATTGAAATCTCTAATTATCCCATTATGGAAAAGATCCCCAACTGTATCAAGACCACCTTGTGTTTTCCACTGTCTACAGAACTTAATCGTATCAAATGGTACGAAATTCAATAAATTCTTACTGAGGTATTCTGACAAGGTATCCGGCTCACTCTGGATCTCAGACAAAGCATTGAGGATATCTCTCTAAAAAGGGATTCCTAATATGCCTACTGACTTCTTTCAGTTTTATACCATCCGTATCATACAGTAAGTCAACTTCAAACTGTAAAATTTCATTTAACAATGCTATCCATGCTCTTTTTGAATCCTCAAATATTATTTTAATCAATTTTACTTTCAGATACTTAATGAAAGACAAAATATGAGTCATGTTAAGACCTCCATCTTCTTTACAGGAAATGATAGTATCCCGCTTTACCTTGTCAGTTTTAACATTCCATATGAAACCAAGTAAAATTGTATTCAACCTGTTTATATATGGTTTGGAAGGGTTTGGCAGCGAGGTAAAAATATGTATAAATTTTGGTATCATAAGGGGTTTTATAATTGTAATACGCCCAATTAAAGTAAGATCTCGACAGCTCCAGTAAAGTAGAAGGTTATTAACCTGTTGCAGTTTAATCTCATAGTTTATGCGTTCCGTATCATCAAGATTTAATGAAAACACAATACCAAGCAGTTTAAAGTTTGAAGTTGACCAGGTTAATTTCCAACCTTGACATATTCTATCATTAGAGAACTTTTTATTTCCTTTCCAGTACAGGCTTGATTTTTGTAAATTTATCTTCAATCCAAATACCCTGGCAAAATCTTCTAATATTTGGACTGCAGTATATAACGACTGGCTATCTCCATCAAGCAGAATATAGGCATCATCAGCATATTGGCCCAGAAGGAATGTATTACAAAGTTATCTTTGTCTCCCTCAATAACGTATTCATCTACAGTTTCTGTAATGCAATCTTTGACTTGTCGTTTGTAAGTTTGATCTTCTAAGAGGGCAGTATTATATTTCCAGTATCCTCTGCCACGTTCTACATTACTGAAATTAATATCTATGACTATACAAGAGTGATCAGTTTTGTAGCCAGGTATCATTTTTGTATCTTTTATTTTTGAATATAAGTTCTCTGAAATTAAAAAGTAACCAAGCCTGCTTTGTCTAATAGGATTTTTTTGCCTCCATGTAAAGTTTTTTAAATCAGGATAAAAGCATCTCCATGGATCTAGAACATTATATGCATTAATTATATTTTTATTGCCTCCTGGGATTTGGGGTTGTTATTGTGAATAATATTGTGTGTATCCATTTCTTTGTTCGGTACAGAATTCCAATCACCACATAATATCATAGAAGTATTGTTAAAAACGTGTAGGGTTGACAAAAAGTTTTCAAAGAAAAGGGGGGAATCTTGATTTGGACCATATAAACATGCTGGTGTTTATCTATTTTGGTTTATTGAAATATCAAGTATAATCAATCTTCCACAACTATCAACTCTACTACCATGTATTACATATTCAAATGTATTTCTCAAAATATAGCTACCCCTGCTGATCTAGATGTATAATTACTAAACACTCATGTATATCCCCATTCTCGTTCCCATATTTTTTCTATACTATCTTCACAATGTGTTTCCTGCAAGCAGATAATATCAAAATATTGTTTTTATCCAGTGGAACACATCTCTCATCTTTAGCCTATCAGAGTTCAGTCCCCTTACTTTCATAGACATAAACTTTATACTACCCACAGCCAACACAGCGGTAAACCCAGTACCCCACCAGCCTAACAAAGCAAAACCCTCCAGCCCCCCATCTGCCTCCTGCCTCACACACAGGTACATATACACATAATGACAATTTCTGATGAAACACATACACACTTCTCTCATCATCAAACAACACATTTAAAAAGCATATTTTGTCTATCATGGTCGCTGACTACACTAGATATTGCATACATTTTATTACCAATTATTGTTCTAATACATAACATTAATAAGTAAATACATAATAATAATACAGCAATTTAAACTTTTAAATGCACTGTACAGTCATACCCGCCTATAATTCTACATAATTCATATTAAATCTACCTGATCATTATACACAGATATCCACTCTACACAGAGGAGACAATTATGACAAGCCTTACTGTACAATGCATCTGATTTCTTACCTCGTAAGTAGAATGTCTGTTAAATCCCTCACATATACTGTATATCCAATATCATAGAATCACATCTTTTTTACAGAACACAGAATGATACATAAAGATAATATCACTAATTAGAACACACTGTGTCTACCTCCTTTTGAATATTTCGTCCACACTGTCATATAAGTCAATTGGCTTTCTCACACCATCACAAACCGCAAAAACTCGTCCTTTGAAATACCATGCGTTCTCAATCCGACTGTCACTCTGTAGTCTGTTAATCAAACCAGCATTATCCCTCGTCACATCATCCACCAGCTTCATTGTCCCTCGTCACATCATCCACCAGCTTTATTGTCCCTCGTCGCATCATCAACCAGCTTCATTGTCCCTCGTCACATCATCCACCAGCTACATTGTCCCTCGTCACATCATCCACCAGCTACATTGTCCCTCGTCACATCATCAACCAGCTTCATTGTCCCTCGTCACATCATCCACCAGCTTCATTGTCCCTCGTCACATCATCCACCAGCTACATTGTCCCTCGTCACATCATCAACCAGCTACATTGTCCCTCGTCACATCATCAACCAGCTTCATTGTCCCTCGTCACATCATCCACCAGCTTCATTGTCCCTCGTCACATCATCCACCAGCTTCATTGTCCCTCGTCACATCATCCACCAGCTTCATTATCCCTCGTCACACCCTCAACCAGCTTCATTATCCCTCGTCACATCCTCAACCAGCTTCAATGCCCCTCGTCACATCCTCAACCAGCTCCATTGTCCCTCGTCACATCCTCAACCAACTTCATTATCCCTCGTCACATCCTCAACCAGCTTCATTGTCCCTCGTCACATCCTCAACCAGCTTCATTGTCCCTCGTCACATCATCCACCAGCTTCATTGTCCCTCGTAACTCTTTCCTTGGCCTGATCACTTGGTTCCTGACATCTTTCCGTTCAAACTTCACCACTAATGGCCGTGCTCTCGTATTGTCCCTTCCATGAAACCTGTGGACAGCCAAAAGGTCATCACGGCTGATGGTCTCAATAATCCTCGTGTTGACCTCCTCACAGAAATATTTCACTATGTCTCCTCTTCATCCTCTAGTTCTGCAAAGACAATCAACTTGATGTTGTTTCTCCTACTGTACACTTCATTGTAGTTTCCCTTCCGTATCCCATTCACAGTCATCCTTCTCACCTCCACCATACATTATAATGTTGTTTTTGTTGAAGCAAGATAAAGCATCAAGCTTTCTTCAGACACTACGTTTGCGTACATATACTTTTGATTTTGAGTATAAGCCTTTAATTGGCAGCGATGTGAACAAGCTGCGTGATAGCAAAACCGTCGTCAATGACAGTTTATAAAATGTCTCCAATATTGGACACAGAATAATGGCCAAGGGCGGTATATATGTATATATACTTTTGTTGTATAGATCATGTGACTTCATTATCAGACAAATCAGGTCAACTTTTATTGATATACATACCACCCACAAGAAAGACCAGCTGATAGTTAATTGTACTCGCGGTAGATATGAAATGCATGCATTAGCCTGAACGTGTGTATCACAGGGATTATTATAGTGCTCACAAGAATCTAATTGCAGTGGCGGATCCAGAGACATATCTGGGGGGG